TAATTTTTTTCAGGTTTGTTTTAGTATTTATTATTGTTCTTATAAATTAGTTTTGAATCAGTCCAGTGAAAGACAGAAAGATTTATTCCATGCTATTAAGGAATTTTTGTACTAAATGACAAGTTCAGGGAATTATAGATTTATGCCTGTGGTGGATTGTATATTTTTAATACTTAAATATTGGAGATTCCTTGCCAGTGATTCTTGTATGATTTCCTGTAGCATAATGGAGATTAGTATGACAAAAACTGTTTTGCTGTCAGTTTTGCTGAATTTTTGATACTTAGACATTTTTTCCAATTTTGTTTTTTCAGAATTCTTAGATAATAGAATTGCAATATCAATGACAGATGTAGTTTTAGAAGTTTTTTAACATAATTTGAGGTGTAATTTTTACAGTTCTATCAGTTAGAACAAGTATATCCCAATAAAGTATAAATCAATAATTGTTTTAATACTGGTGGAGGATGGAATTTATAATAAAGAGCTAATGAGAAAGGAAAATTTAAGTTTTAGTAACTTGATCCTGAATACTAATCATGACGTTTTTGTCTCAGGAAATATATTTTCAGATTTTAGCCAGATGAAATATAATTTTTCATTGACTTTGTCACCTGTTAAAATAGTAGGTATTTTCCATGGATTGGTTTCTCCCAACAAAAAGCATTTACTTTTCTGACTGTTATAGAATATAACATACAGAAACTATGGTGATTGACCTTCTCAGTTGTTTTGCATTTCTTGATGATGTGTCAACACTTCAGGAGCTAGTTTTCTGGCTCCTGGAGTGTTGACATAATTTTAAAATGATTTTTTTTTATGTTTTTATTAAAAAAAATTTCTTATAAAATTGTGTGTTTGTATGTTGGCATCTATTTTGAATTATATCTCTGGACTAGATGAACCTAAAATTTTGAAAACTTTGCAACTTGACAGGATTATTTCTATAGTATGGTCTGTTGATGCTATTAAAGTGTTTTTGTTGACTAAACATCAAAGGAATTGGAGATAGGAGGTAGTCATGTGTCATATCTTGAGTGGAGTCAGATTTAATGAAAATTTTACTCATTATTGGCATTCACATTTTTTAAGAACTCATCTCTAATCTTAAAATATAGACTTTTGTCTTTTTATAATAATTAATAATATAAAAATTATTTTTTAATAAAATCCACAACAGATAGCACTATACATAATTTTAACTTTGAGTCCTCTCTTGCTGTTTTCTAAATTTAAATTTCTTTATTTAATCCTTTATTATTAATTAAATTATATAACTAAATTTAATATAACTAAAAATTATTAGATTTTCTTCTTGATTCCTTAACACATTAAGAGCACCTTTTAATGTATAGCATGTGCTGCTGCAACACATGCTATACATTAAAATCTGTGCTCTGTTATTTCAGAGCAATAGGCTAGCTATAAACATATATATACATAATGGAAATAGTTAGAGCATGGCCTGTGGGAATGGAAATTGCATTGGTCCAGTAAAATTTTTTTTATGATAGAATGCGAATAGAAATTTCATTTTTTTAGTTATAAAGTATTCAAAATGTGCCTTTTCTAATGTTTTACTTGCACAATGAACATGAATAAGTACAATATTGTGAAAATATAAAGCACAAAAACAAATGTTTGAGAAACAGTTTTTATTTTCTTTTAGTGAACAATGTATAATGTTAAAAATGAAATTATTAATAAAATTAAATTTTATGGGAGTCCTAATATAATAATAATTAACAATCCAATAATTTACGAATAATAATAATCATTATTATTATTAATATTATTGTGTTTGTAAATTATTGGATTGTTCAGAAAGTTCATAGTGAAATTTGACAAAATTCAAAGCAGTACGTTGTACTGAATTAGTATTTTATTAAATAATGTGTACACCATTTGTTTCAATGACTTTTCACTATCTATTAGGTAGCTTCATTGATCCCTTTTTGAAAAATTTTATATTATTTTTTAGCAACAAATTCTTTGGAGTGGTTTTTACTGCCTGTAATGTACTTAATTATTTTCAAGAAGTTTGTAAAGACTGAAACAAATTATAGTCAGATGATTCTATGTCCAGTGAATAGAATGGATGGAGTAAAACCTTCCAACCAAAGTCAAGTAGCTTTTGCCCACTCTTTGTTGGCATGTGCAATCTAGCATTGTCCTGTTGCTGTTGATAAAGACATATTTCCTGTTGATCAATTCCAGCCATTTTTGTTTAATTACATCATTTAATTGATGTAACTGGGAGCAACATTTATCTGAATTAAATGTTTCATTGTTTTTCAGAAGTTCTTAATTAAATTAATAAATCTTTTGCAATCCCACAAAATATACTGCATAACTTCCTTTGGATGTAATCTGACTTTTGGAGTGGAGTAGTAGCTTCTCTCACTCTCCTGAAGATCTTTTTTTCACTTGACATTTTTGTCTCTTACAAGCGACACTTTAAAAATGGCTCATTTTTGTTATGTTTTAAGAGCAAATTCCTTACTGAGACATAGTCCATCAAATGTTTTTCTGTTAAGTCATTCAGCACCCATACATCATAGCAACTAATGTAACCAAGATATATCCAAAGATATTACCAAAATGTTCACATATGGTACTATTTGATATTTTTAGAATTTTGGCAATCTCTTGATTACTGTAACATGCATTATCATCAACTAATGTCTTTATCTGATATCAATAGCAGATGATATATCAGAGTACTACACATCTTCCAGAGAAAAATTACCAGTTCAGAAATGAGAAAAACCACTTATATACAGTACCACACTTGCATCAGTAGCATATATCTTTTTTGGATCTGTGCAGCATTTTTACACTTGCAATAAGGGAAAAGCATGTTGGAAATGCACTTTCTTGTTTTCCATCTTTTTACTGTTGTTAAACAAACACAACTTGACCAATTTCTATTCTTTTTCTTTCAAATGATGCTTAACAATGACACTTACATGTTACACATGGATGCAAGAACAATAAAACATATGAACATCAGTCAAGACTGTTAATAGTGCATATTTGTCAAAAACACTACAGACTTTTTAAACAACCCAATATTTTAAAAATAATTAATTAATTAATGGTCTTCAATAAATTTAAATAGTTTTAAGTTTCAAATATAAATTTATTGAAATTATTTGAAATAAATTCTGTTAAATAAATTTATAATGTTATATAAAAATTTTCAAATGTTTATTCTTATTTTTAGATATGAATTGTGAAGGAAAAAATAGTATATGACCAGTTTGTATCAATGATGTTTGAGGGGAAACATATTCATTTTTCTCCAGTGGATAATAAGCCCCTCTGTTCATACAGTGTAAAGTTGTGTAAACAACGTCGATTAAATGGATATGCATTTTGCATTCGACATATTTTGGAAGATAAATCTGCTCCCTTTAAACAGTGTGCTCATGTTGCTCGTTACAATAATCAAAAATGCACAAATCCAATTCCATCTAATGAAGATAGAGAGTAAGTATATAAGATATTTAACTACATATTTGTTTGAATGTTAAACTTGTAAATATTTTTAAATAATATAATTTATATTATTTAGTATTTATACAGAGCACATACCCTTTATTAAAAGTTAAATTTAAAATTACATTCTTTTCTGTCATACTAACTGATAAAACCTTAGTAACAAAGGCAAAAGTACTTCTATATATGTGTTTTAACTTTTTTATTATTGAAATTATTTAAAATTTCTCAAATTGACCATATCAATATTATTTAATATTTTATAAAATAATGATTTATGATGTGATTAATCATTTTTATTGATTGTAATTTCTTATAAATTGTTTTAAAGGTTCTGCAATAGTCACATGCAAGTTGCTGGAATGCTTCCAAAAAAGGAGCGTAAAAACAAAAAAGAGAAAGAAAGAGATTTATTTATACCTTCAGATGGGAGGTTAAAATTTGCTGATAAGTTAAGAGCTCTTTTAAAGAAAGAAAATAGCATTACAAATACTGAAGAAACTTTCAATGATGATCCGTATGCATTTCCTGATCCTGTTACTGAAAATGGTAATAATAATGGTGGAACAGGATTATCAGTGGCTCGAACACCTTGGAATTGTACACAAAAGATTTTGGATAGTGCAAATTCAGAAAATATAATAAAAAATGAAGTAACTCAGTCTAAGAACAATGTTTCAGCTGAATGCAGATCGAAATCTCATACACCTAAATTATCAAAAACAATGAATAGATTACAGGCTAAAATTGCAGAAAATAAACTGCTTGATAAATTGAAAAAATCTCAGGAGTCTAGTCATCAGAACAATACTGTAGCAACAGTGGGAGGTAATTCAATAAATATTAAGTCTGAACCTCTATCACCAGCAGCAGCTTTCACTGTACAAAGTAGTAGTCCAAAAACAAACCCTGTTTGTGGAAGGAATAAACTATTAAATAAATTACTTGGTAATAGTAAAAGTAACTGTTCTACAAATACAAGTAATTCAGATCTTCACAGTGTAATTCCAGTAGATAATGCATCAGACACATCAAATATAAGTTTTTTATTGTCATCAGCAATGCACAAAACATCAAACTTAAAATCTCAGGTCACATCAAACCATCAAATATCTAAATTTGTAACTTCAGATAGGTGTTCAAATAATTCTAATTCAATAACTGGAATGGTTATGGTGAAACCACGAAAAAGCAAGGTCACAGAAATTACTTCCATTAAAGTTCCTCCAGTTCTTCAAAGAATAGAAGAGTTTTGGCAAAGTGAAAAGAAATGTTGTAAAGACTTATATCCTTTAGGTAAATATTATTTTAACTATTTATTATTTCTATTTATACTATTATTAGTTATGTAAATTCAATGCAAACAACTTGATGTTTAATGAATTAAAGTTTCAACTTTCTTATTACTAAAAATGTTCTGTATTTTTATGTTTAAAATTCATGTATTATCTGTGCTTAAAAGACAATTTGAAAAGGATGCAGGTTTTTCTGTGGAGCTGATTAAGTTGAATTTAAATTGCAGTTATGAACTTGTGCTTATGGAGTAATGATTGCTTCCATAGTATGAGATATACAGTAGGGAGTTATGCATAGGTTTTATTTTTGTTCTAGCAATTTTCTACAAGTTACATACATCATTGCAAGTTATGTGCATGAGAATACAGTGAATTTTCATTACGTAAAAATCAGTTCTGTATTATGATCATCAGGAAAATCTATCATTCTATATCAATGTTGTGTGTCTTATATTGATTAAAAACATTTTAATTGATCTAACTATTATTTCTAAACATAAAATTAAATATTACTGAAGTAAACATTCTCAAAGGAATAAAAAGTTTTTCTAAAGTTTGTCTTCCTTTTACTGATGGCATAATAAGTCTAGCAAAAAAGAAAAGCCACCTTAGTGCTCGTATAATTGAAGTAAACTAGTTTTATTTATTTGTAAAGATGGAAATTTATTGCTAACTGATAGACTGAGTTAGCTTAAATGGCAAAATAGATTTGATTTCTCAAAAGTTAGTACCATAATTTTATACAGATAACTCATCATGGTGTATATCCTACAGAAAATTGCTGGAATGGAAACAAAAGTCTTTGCATAGCCCACCCCATTGTACATCTTGCACCTCTGGAGCAGCCATTGAAAGCATCACTTACTAGTATACTGTTTAGAAGATAATGCTTCAAACATTAAAATTGTTTGTCTAAGATTCTTCATTGTAAATCTAAATATATAAAACTAGCAGACCCCGCCACGTATTTGTTGTGGCTCAAAATGTATCTATTATAAATGTATAACACTTCCCCTGTGGGGGGGTAATTTTTCGAAAAATCCCTTCTTAGTGTACATTCTCTTGATGTACCCTATTAAAACGCAATCAAAAATGCAAAAACCCGCATCTAAAATAGTATAAATAGAAGTGGAGTTCTTTACAGTAAGTCTTAATCCTGTCCATCTCCCCCAGTGGGGGAAATTTTGACACATATATTATATAAAAACATGTGCGTATTCGAATGCAGCGTTGTGTGAAAATTTCAAAGGAATCGATAGGAACAAACGAACATTACATTTTTATTTATATAGATAGATAGAAGATGATCTGCTTTAGTTCATCCTCACAGGAAAGCATAATGCTTCACAGAAAAGCAAACTTAGGTCGTTGTACTCGTAGCGCCATCTGTTGGACATAAAAGCCTTAATCCTAGATGATATCTTTTAATTTATATGAATGTTAACAGAATAATATACAGCCTATGCCCAACCTGAAGTTCCATGCTAAATACTGATGAAAGAATTTTTGAAATTGGATGAGTAATTTCGGAGATTACCCGCTACATCCAAACTTACAAGCATTATCTCTTTATAATATTAGTATAGATTACTTGTCCTGACTGACTGACTGAGTCACTGATTCATCATTGCCCAGAGCAAACTGCTTAAACCTAAAGAGGTGAAATTTGGTACACAGTTAGGGTACATCATGGAAACGCACACTAAGAAGGGATTTTTCGAAATTCCCACGTGGAGGGAAGAGGGAGAGCATTAAGCCTTCACCTGAAGAACAGCTTCTACTGTACTATTTTAGATGCAATTTTTTGTTTTTAACTGTGTTTTAGTAGGGTACGCGATGGGAATGCACACTAGGAAGGGATTTTTTGAAATTCCTCAGCGGGGAGGAGGGAGAGGATAAACCTCTCCCTCCTCCCCGCTGCTAAGGCTTAACGTGAAGAACAGCTTTTACTGTACTATTTTATACGTGATTTTTTGTTTTCAACTACGTTTAGTCTTCATTGAGTACTTAGGTGTATTAAATTGATAACATTTCAGACATTGTTATAAATATTTTTCATATATTTTGATTTTTTAACCAAATGTTCAAACCATTTTAAATTTGAATTTGTTATTGCATATTGGTTCGATTATAGAATGATTGTAAATGTTCCAAAAAATCAATCAAATTGAAAACATTTCATTTGATTTGCAGCGGTAGGTGTTATATAACAATTACTATGGTTGTTGAAATATTGAATATAAATGGGGTTTGCTTGCAAAACCACCGCAGGCGAAGTCGCAGGTAACAACTAGTTTAATTATAAAATAAGTGAAACAAAAACACAGAATACTGAGAGGAAATCTCCTAAATTTCATCTATCAAAAATACAAATAACATTTTTATTGTCATATTTTTTATCACATAAAAGCAATGAAATATAATAATAAGCCACAAGCATTGATAATAGCACACATACAACAAGTACAAGTAATGATACTACAGGCATTTCCTCATCTATCACTGATAACATAGACATAGAATTAGTTAATACGCTCTCACTTATATTTCAGGAAACACTCATTAAATATACTGGTACAGATCCCACACAAAGACCACGAATAACAAAAATCAACACGTCAAAGAAAGTAGGAAAAATGTTAAATTATGTAAACACTCACTTACTACCAAACTACATTCATTCAATTTCTACACTCTCAGACATTCATACATTAGTTTATGCTGGGGCAGTCACAGTAGTAACACACCATGGACTGAAAATACACTCACAGACAGACACACACAAAACACAATCCTATCACAAGCCTGCCTGGCAGAGAAGAATAGAAACACAAATAAATGACATTAGACAGCAATTAGGCAGGCTGACACAATACACTAAAAACAACATAACACCCAAATTAAAGAAACAACTCAAAAACATTTTCAAGAAAATCAAAACACACACAAAACACGAACATCACAACACACACATTACAGAATACATCGATACACTAAAACAAAAACTCGCAGCCAAAGCACGTAGACTCAAACGATACAAAACATGTACACTACGAAAACAACAAAATAAATTATTCACAAACAATGAAAAACTTTTCTACAGACAAATCAGTACCAAAACAAACACTGATACACAGCACAGTGGCACACCAACAGAAGAAGAACTCACAACTTATTGGTCTTCTCTTTGGTCCAATGCTGTTACACACAATGCTGATGCAGGCTGGATCGAGGAGGAGAACAGAAACTTGCACAACATACCAACTATGCCCTGTGCTGAAATAAACGTACACGACATTCGCTACGCTGTTAACAGAACACACAACTGGAAGACACCTGGTGTAGACAACATTCACAATTTCTGGTACAAAAAGTTTACATCACTGCACCAGGAACTAGCTAAACATCTAACACACATCATCATCAATCCACAAGACATGCCAAAATTTCTTACTCAGGGCATCACCTACATGAAACCTAAAAACAACAAAACCACAGACCCCACACAATACAGACCAATTACATGTCTTCCAACACTCTACAAATTATTGACATCCTGTATCACAAACAAAATATACAAACATGTTGAAGAACACGACATTCTTACAGAACAACAAAAAGGTTGCCGTAGAAATCACAGGGGATGCAAAGAACAGTTACTCATAGATTCAGTCATTCTACGGCAAGCACACAAACAACACAGAAACATACACATGGCATATATAGACTACAGAAAAGCATTCGACAGTGTTCCACACAGTTGGCTGCTACATATTCTACACATGTACAAAATACATCCATCACTCATTGCATTCTTCGAAAACACTATGCAGCACTGGAGAACAACACTACATCTCAGGGTTAGTAACACTTCCATACAAACAAACGAAATATTCATTAGGCGAGGAATTTTTCAAGGAGATTCCTTGAGTCCTCTCTGGTTCTGCCTAGCCCTGAATCCATTATCCAACATGTTAAACAACACGCAATATGGCTACAATATCAGACATGAAAAAACAACACAGTTTACACTGTCACATCTCATGTACATGGACGACATAAAACTTTATGCATCCACACAAAAACAACTTCATCAACTCCTACAAATCACACATTCATACACTAAGGACATACAAATGGAGTTTGGCCTAGACAAATGCAAAAAACTTCACATAGAAAAAGGAATCCTGAAGAAAGAAGATTTTGCACTTGGAAATGGAGACGTTATTGAATCCATGGAAGAGGGCGAGTTCTACAAGTACTTAGGATTCCAACAGGCCAAACTAACAGAACATACACAAATAAAGCAACGATTAATTAAAGAATACCAAAGTAGGTTAAACGCTATACTTAGAACACAGTTAAATGCAAAACACACAGTTAAAGCAATAAACACATATGTCATCCCAGTACTCACATACTCTTTTGGAGTTATACATTGGACTCACACAGATCTCGAGCAACTCCAAAGGAAAACAAGAACAACACTTACTAAGCATAAACAACATCATCCTAAATCCGCCACAGAAAGATTAACCCTTCCACGTAAAGAAGGCGGACGTGGCCTGATTGACATAGTTAACCTTCACTACAAACAAATACAGTCACTGCGAGAGTTTTTCTACAAGAAACAAGAAACATCACAGTTACATAAAGCAGTAACTCTAGCAGACTCAAATAACACACCATTAAACTTACACTCACAACATACAGACATGACACAACATATAAAAAGCATAGACAACATTAAGCAATCATGGGCTCAAAAGGCTCTCCATGGCAGGCATCCTTACGACCTGGCCCAGGATTTTGTTGACAAAACTGCGTCAAACAGCTGGTTAGATCGGGGATGCCTCTTTGGGGAGACGGAAGGATTCATGATTGCCATACAGGATCAGGTCATAAATACTAAAAACTACAGAAAACACATACTCAAAGATACAACACTCACAAATGACACATGCAGAAAATGTCACATCATGCCAGAAACTATACAACACA